GCTCCGGGAATTTGCCTACCTGCCCCCCCCCCCCCCCCCCCCCCCCTATGTCCGTTTCGCCGTCGCTACTTCGCTTTGTCTGTCTGTCCGTTCGCGGCTAACACGGCGCGTACTTATCTCATGTAGGTAAGAAGCGGGCCTACGTAACATAGTTGCGTCCCCTGCCTACCTCCTACTGACTAACTACTCATGCTGGGGAGAGGAGACGGGAAGGGGGGTTCTGGTCTCGAGTAAGAAACTACCCCCGCGAAAAAGGTTGACTGTGTCCGCAAGTGTTCGCATCATCATCATCCTCATCCTCATCACAGATTGGCAGAATGACAGATGGGCTGCAGATTGGTAAGGCGGTCCTGCGATGGATCTGCTTAATCCCGTCGGTAACTAGCAGCCGTGTGGGACTGTGTTTTTTTGTTTTGTTTCGGCATTCCGAAATTCATCCCCTTCCATAATACTGATTAGTTAACTAGCGGTAGTTATTAACTAGTGCGAAGCTCTTCTGGCTGATTAATCATTATGCGTTGATTGATATTGTCGTCGACTTCTCTCTTCCTCTCCCTTCCCGTCCTGCTTTGTTGCATCGCGGATTGTCACAGGAAGAAGAAAAAGTTCTTCGTCTTTGCAGCCGTCCCGTCCGTATTGTATAAAAAAACGCCAGGCAAGGAAGGATGTCGTCTTCGCACCCTGCGAAAAGCCCTCCCGACGCCTCGGGGCTCGTGATCGCCGCGGCTCGGGGCCCACCTGACTACGCCACCGGCGGCAACGAAAGCGGCGGCGGGGACAGCGGCGACAATACCGCCCGGGATGGCCGCGGCAGCTACTTCGCGTCGAACGGCGCCCTCCTCGTGAGCGACGACCCCCATGACTACGACCGGGATGAGGAGGAGAAGCGCCGCCCCCTCGAGGAGAGCCTCCAGCGGCAGCCGCACCGGAGCGTGGGGTTCTGGGATCCCAAGATGAACCAGGTCCGGAAGACTGTGATCAAGCAGTGGGCAGCAATGGGTAAGTTAGGACCCGGTCTCTCTCTCCCTTTCCCTCTCCCTTTCCCTCTACCTTTTCCTCTCTCCCCGTCTATCTAAGCTGTGTGTTTGGGTTGGTCACGTTATGAGCATGAACAACGCCCACACTGCCTTTTGATTCGGTGAGTCGGGCTATATATATATATATATATATATAGCGTATATACATACATACTTCCGGTCGGTTCGGTATCAGCTGAAACGGGGCTCCGGTCTTTTCGCAGTGACGTTCCTCGTATGCGCCATCATGGCGATCCTAGCGCTCTACTGGGCGGACCTCTTCGTGGTCGACCAGAAGCTGCGCAACCTGACGGTGCACGTGGTCGACCTCGACGGCCAAGCGGCGCCGTACAACGACAGCGCCAGCGCCATCACGCCGCTCGTGGGGCCGACCATGACGTCGCTCGCGCGGGAGCTCGCCGACGGCGACCAGCCGTCCCTCGGCTACGTCGTGGTGCCGGCCGCGGCGTACGGACACGACGCGCGGGCGGTGCGCCAGGCCGTCTACGACTGGGAGTGCTACGCGGCGGTGGTGATCCAGGCCAACGCGACGGCGCTGCTGCAGGCGGCCGCGGCGCGGGGCAACGCGTCGTACGACCCGACGGGCGCCGTGCAGATCGTGCTGCTGTCGGCCCGCCAGGAGGCCACCTACTACAACTACATCCTGCCGCAGCTGGAGGCGCTGGCGCGGGATTTCTCGGCCCGCTTCGCCGCCCGCTGGGCCGCCGAGCTGCTGGCCGACGGCGCGGCCTACCCGCGCGAGGCGCTGGCCCGCGCCCCCGCCGCCGTCAACCCGGGCGTCGCCCCCGTGCAGCTCGACCTGCGGCCGTTCCAGCCCGCTGTCGCCACGCCGGCCGTCTCCATCGGGCTCATTTACCTGATCATCATGGCGTTCTTCTCGTTCGGGTTCTTCATGCCCATCCACTCGGTACGTTTTCGGGGAGGGGGGAGGGAAGGAAGGAAGGGAGTCTTAAACTACCTAGGCCCAGCAAAAGCTTTGTTCGAAAGCTATAGTTTAGAGTTCTGTCATCCAATTCGTCCATCCCTACTATCTCTTGCTAGTGATCTTGAAACCCTATTAGGTTAAGGTTCACTAGAAGCGACTGAGAGGTGTGATGAGGTGGAGGCTAGGTTGGGCTGGGCTGGGCTGGCTCTACTTTACCTATTGACTGATAACTAATCCGCTGTCTCTGTTTTAGAAATACATCCAACCCCACGGACACCCTCCCCTCCACTACTGGCAGTACATCATCTGGCGGCTATGCGCCACGATCACGGCGTACCTCTTCATCTCGCTGGCGTACTCGCTCGTGTCGCTCGCCTTCCAGATCCCGTTCTGGCCCGGCCCCGCGTCGCAGACCGATGTCGCCTTCAGCGCCACGGCGTACGGGCGGGGTTCGTTCCCGGTGTACTGGATGGTAAATTTCGGTAAGTAGCCTATGTCCTGGAGCGACTAGCTATAGCTACGCTGCGGGCCTCCTTTTCCCGGCATGTTCAGGGAAATTGCTCCTGCACCCTCTGTGTGTCCTTTCTACGGGAGTGTTCTTCTGTCCAAGGCAATGGCTAACATCTGGATGATCCGCTTCTTCCAAATGACATAGTGGGCATGAATGCGCTCGGCATTGCGTGCGAGAACGTCGCGATGGTCATAGGGCAGCCATGGACAGCACTATGGCTGATCTTCTGGGTTATTACGAACGTGGCGACGTCCTTCTACTCGATCGAGCTGGCCCCTAACTTCTTCCGCGTAAGCAAACAACTTTCAGAGTCCATGGGAAATCTAGGAAGAGAGATAGCTAACCCCAAGTGTTGCAGTGGGGTTACGCCTGGCCGCTCTACCACGTCGTCATGGCCAGCCGTCAGATCCTGTTCGACCTGCACTCACGCATCGGCCTCAACTTCGGCGTCCTATTCGCGTGGGCTGCCGTGAACGTCACCCTATTTCCCTTCTGCTGCTACATCAGTAAGTCCAATTTCCACAGTTACCTGTATCCTCTCTCTGTGGTTTAGCTACAGTTGCTTGAGATCACTCGGAGCATCGTGGTCATGCCTAAGAGAAAGCAAGAGCTCCAAACAAATAAAGTCCATTCTTTCCCACTTCTCGCTGAAGCTGGAAGTATCCATAAAGAAGCCGGTTGCTGACTCCAGGTTTTTCTGCATTGCAGTGCGCTGGAAGATGGAGCGCGGGCAGCGCCGCAGCAGCGAGGAAAGGCAGGGCGACACCTACACTATCGACACCGGCGATGGCGAGAAGGTCGAGTACCCCAAGGAGAAAGGCGCCAAGCCTCCCAAGAAGAGACGTGGGTTCATGCGAGGTATGTGAGATGTGATGGGAGTAGGGGGTTGCTAAGGTTAGACTGGCCATTTGCGGGTGCTCACATTATCGTGGGATCTGTAGTAGGTCTTCGTTCCGAGAGAGATAAAGCATAAAACAATAGATATTGTGATATTGTATGAATATATACATATATATAATATATAACTACATATATAGAATAAATAAAAGTCCATGCTTATCAGCCCAGCAACCCGTACGTATCATTCCGTTCCGTAGTTCCGTAGGTATAATGCAACACGCACGATAACAAATACCCCAAACCTAACTGGTTCGTTAATCAAGATTGATAAACCTAGGAATATGAGAAGATCTTGTTTTTCTAGCCCGTGAAAAAGCAAACAGGGAAAAGACGAACAATAAAAAAAAGAAAAAGTAGTGGAAACAAATCCCACCACGACCCAAAAAGATAAATCTCATCATGCTCTTTCTCGGGGAATCGAACCCCGGCCACCTGCGAATTGCAGCAATTTGACAATTGTGACAAGCAGGTATCCTGACCACTAGACCAAGAAAGACGTTGGTGATTTGATTGGATGGTTGATTTTCTTTTGAAGTATTCGACACTATATGCACTAGATTTGGTTCTGTGGCTTAGTTTGGTTCTGATCAGTGGTTCTGATCAGATATCGGCTATATTAGTTAGTTGTCAGGTGGTTGTACGTTCTAACTAGCTAGGCACCTACTTCTACTTATAAGTCGAACTAACTTAACATTTATTACTTGATCCCTGCAACAAGTAATATATGATATTTCGTAATAGCTACCTATGTATATAGCTACGTAGTAATGAGCTACCTATACTAACTGTAAGTAGTATATGATGTTGATGTATTAGATAGCAGCTGGCAGGCAGCTCAAGAGGTCCAAGTGAAGCATAGCCTTTCTAGTGATATAGCCTATATAGGGTGGCTCTTGATGCTTCATTTATTAATACCATACAATCTTTCTATATGATGAAACAGGCGGGGTTGCAGGTGCCATTTGATCATGTGGGATTCCTTTCCGGCTAACTGCAGGCTGTGGCAAGGGATAAGCTTATATCATATAAGCAGGTTCGATGAAACATCATATCCCTCCTCACAGCACAATCAAATGAGATAAGCACTATGTAGTAACTATGGCGCAATAAGTAGAGTTGTATTGCTTGGAAAGCAGCATAGCGCTTGACCTACCTATCAGAAGATGTAGGAGGAGCTGTTACACAGTAACGAAGCTTTATACCTAAGATCGAAGACCCTCCAGGTTTCTGACCAGGGGAGTATGTACGTCCCGACAGGATATACTGCCTACCTAGGTACGTAGCAAATCCCCTGCCCATTACCTACCTACCTCCCTACCTACCTGACGATTCCGCCACGCCGACAATGACATGCACGACGCGCCTCGCCCTCTCGTCGCCGAGGAACGGGCTGTGGTCGCTCTCGAGGTCCACGACGTCGCGGCAGCCGCTGGCGGCCGCCCACGCGCGCTGCGCCGCCACGGGCACGGCCATGTCCCGCGTGCACACGACGTACGTCGACCGCCCCGCCACGTCCCGGTGCACGTCGGCCGCGACGAAGTGCACCGCCGCGTTGACGCTCGCCCGGCTCTGCGGCACCAGGTCCTCGGCCGCCCGCCACTGCTCCGCCTCCGTCGGCAGGCTGTTGTACAGCGGCACCACGCCCTTGCGCTCCGCTGGCATCACCGGCACGTAGTGCGCTCCCTGTTTGTTTTTTTTTCGTCATTCTTGTGCTCAGCGGCTGGTAGACGGGAGGGGAGAAGAGGGGGTTTGAGAAAACTAGGTAGATAGGTAGGCAACTGGCTCGGGGTTCTCGACCGAGGTGTAGGTAGGGAGTAGGTAACATACCTCTATCCGTCAGGTGTTGGGCGGTAGGGTGTCATCGCTGAGCCCTAGCGCCCCCAGCAGGCTGGTGCCGCGTTGCGCCAGCGCCACGGCCGCGATGTATACCATGGCCCGGATTCCGCCCTGGAGCCCGCGCGCCTTGCGCTCCGCGACCGTCTGGCCCTCGGTCACTGCAGCCGCTGCGATTCCGCCCTAGGTGAGTCGGTCAGTTCAAGTCGCGCCTCGCCTCGCCTCACCTGAATCCAGGGTCTCAGTTTCAACTGACCTGGCTATGGCCGACGACGACGGCCTCGCGGCCCTCCTTGTCGAACAGCGGCAGCAAGCTCTCGTGGATCCGCCGCACGTCGTCGACGTACGTCGTGCCGTTCACCGAGTCGTCGAGCCCCGTCGTGGGCATCGGCGGCGCCAGCACCGTGTACCCCTGTGCTCGGAGCGGCTCGATCAGCTTGCGATAGTAGATGGGCGGGTGGAACGCCCCGTGGACGATGACGATGATGGGTTTTGTGCTTGTGGTCGTCATGATGATGATGGTGGTGGTGGTGGTAATAGTGGTGAGGCGCCGGCAGGGTGAGTAATCTTTATCAGCCACTGAGCGAGTAAATAAATAGGGGTAGATAGGTGGGTTAGGGGCGGTCGTCAAGTAATAACTAGAGAAAAATAGATCGCTGACGGTGGGCTTCGAATGGGAAACGTCTTCTTAAGTAGTCCCCGTCCACGGAGTATGATCTTCTTGCTCCCGGTGCCTGCTAGTCATAGCTATTAACAGCCAAGGAGACGAGCTCGTTGCATCTCGCCGAGGAGCGCCGTATTTGGGCGGTAGACTAGATGACGTCAAAAGCATGCCACCCGTGATGAGCGAATTTCATGTTGCTGCTGCTGACATCGTAGTAGCTATAATCACGCTGCATTCAGTAGCTGCCGACCTCTTTTCGTGGTCCCCTCTCCAATGACAAGACGGTGTTTCTCTGTTCCTTAGGGAGTAGTACCAGTATAAGCTGACAAAGTACGAGGCATCCATCATCTATCTATTGAATATCACATTTGAGAATGTAATCCCGACACACGCTTCTTCAGAACTTCGAATTTAAGACCAAATGGTCATCACTGATATAAGTGCAAGCTCTTTCACAGATCATGTCCAAGGCACTTCCGGTCACATGGTATGAGAGAGAGTCAGAGAGAGTACGAAAGAAGGTTTCGTATGAAATTTCCTTTTTACAGACATAGCCGTGCTTCAAAGGACCGAGGCTCCATGAAATAAGTGGCTGATGTTGCAAATCGCCATCGTGCCCTCCAGAAGAAGCCGTGGTAATGGATGTGAACACGCCATCCTGCCCGAAGGCGCACCATCCGCTAATGTATGATGATCAAGCGCGTCGCCCGTGATGGTATATATATATACAAGCCCCCGCCGATCCGATAAGGGGGTAAACAAGGAACGGGATGCCTAATGCCATAGCCCATAATAAACGCCAAAACACCATGAGAGCGAACGCCCCCGGCGAAAAGCCTCTCAAATGCAATGCATGCATATGTACTCCGAAAGGAAGAAAAGAGGCGAGGGACAAAAGGAAGACAAGCCAGTCGACCGAAACAGAGCGCCGAGGATGGAACCGCCGTTACCAATCAATCAATCAAGTCAGTCAATCAGCGGCTCTCGTGCTCCCTAGCGCTGCTGTCGTAGGCGCGCGCGGCGGCCTCGAGGTTCTCCAGGCTGGAGCGGTCGCCGTAGGCGTCCTCGAGGGCCTTGAGCCGCGCGGCCGCGAGGCTGGCCTCGGCGTGCATGGCGCTGGCGGCGCTGGCGCGCGCGCGGAGCGACGACGCCTGCGTGCCGACGTAGTAGGCGAGGACGCCCACGGAGGCGGCGGCGATGGGTAGGCCTCTGCGGAGCGAAATGGTCAGCAAAAAATTTCCCCTTGAGAACCAGAAGTCTGTTCTCACCTTGCTGATAGGGGCAGCCGCCTGGGCACGCTCCTGGTCGCCTTCGCGACGGTCTGGGGGAAGTCGAAAACTGGGAGTGGGGAGCCGTAGGAGTTGGTCGTCATGATTGGAATATTGGGATATTATCCTCTTGTGGATTTTTGTAGGACTTGGTTGGCTGGTTGGTAGGTTGATTGATTGATGAGTTGATAGATGGTAATGCTGTATATAGATGGAGGAATGCTACATAGAATCTGAGATCTACTCTGTTGGGATCTAAGCATACATTAATATACTGGTTAATATACTGGCTTCACTTCACACCAGTGCTGCTCCAGCCTCCTGAACACATCCCTCCCCTCATTCTCATTACGAACGGTCCGTTGGTAATTCGCTGAAAGCATGTTCGAGGAAAGATTCGGGATGGATCTTGTTCGATGATGGGGTGATATCGCCCGGTCCCGGGAGGTGCCGCGCAGTCGCTAGTAGCCGCATAGCAGAGAGCCCTGGAGCGCTGGAGCCCAGTGGGCTGATCGGTCGCGCAGTGGTCGCAGCTAGGGGCTTGATGGCGGCCTAAAAATTCCGGACCACAGAAGTTTCCAGCGGCGCAGCGGCGCAGCGGCGCGGCTTCAGGGCTTGGATGGCTTAATAGCATTACCTCGTTAACTAGTACCTACCCGCCTATGCCGTAACTATGATATCCCCGTTTGCACGTGATGATCGGGATCATAGACTCTTGCAGTTAGCAGCCAGGCAATAAGCGCCTACCTCGCATTTTTAGGAGGTATCAGCTATCAGCACCCCCTTTCTGTCTGGCCAACACATTCCTACCACCTAACTAATTTACCTACACCACGTACCTACGCAGTTCGGTAGCATGTGAACTGGATCTGGATCCGCTACAATCATAATCATAATATGGTACCACCACCAGCACCAAAACCCACGCGGCCGCTCCAGAGGTTCGCCGCAGCTCTGTCGCAATGCTCAGCTGAGGTAAGTCATGGTTCCTCCAGCCCCGTCCCCCTCCCCGTCCCCCTCGCCCTCCTCCACTTAACCTCAGATGTAGTTATGTAATTACCAGCTGGCTGGCTAACAACCCCCTCTCTCCTCATCTCTCCCCTATTCCAGGCGGCTGTCTACGGGAAGTGCATCGCCGCCGATTACAACTCCGTGCACATGGACAAGTGCGCCGCCGAGTTCTCGAAGCTCAGGGAATGCTATCTGGTGGGTTGAATTGCTGCCCCCTCCCCCTTTCATTTCTAGACCTGAGAAATGAAAAACACTCCGTTTCCCCTTTTTCAAAAGGCATGCGTGCGTGCCATACAAGCAAACACACACTTACATTTTAGTACAGAAGGCTTGGAGCAAGACAAAACCATGACCTACAAGTAACCTACCTAGCTACTCTATATATGTAGGGTCTGTTACCATTGCACACCAGCGGGTCACTATATAGGTTACTTACTGGATACCTAATATGCATGCAGCGAGTATGGCGAGAACAACGAGGACAAAACGAAACAGCTCTTGAAAACATCAGATTCTATTTTTCCACATTGTCTTCATCGTAGACTTGTACATCAACATCACATCACGTGCTCAATAATTAAGCCTGGCCAATCTACGTGGTCTAGAAGAACTCCAAGGCTATATCATCGGGTTCGGATCTGTTTAAGCGCCCTGCCCGTCGTCTCCGTCTTTAGACCTATAGCTTAAGCAACCTCAACAGGAAAGTTGCCTTTTGCACCT